TTCTCCTATAAAATATCATTCCATCTGAATTTGTCTATTTCTTCTTCATGGTACTTATTTAACTTGTGTATCTCTTTCGTATCTTTCCCCAAAACTAGAACAGCAATAGTCTTATTTATTTATTTATCCTCACCTGAGGACATTTTTGCATTTATCTTCAGATAGAACGGGAGGGAGAGAGGGAGGAAGAGAGAGAGAGGAACATTGATGTGAGAGAGACACATCGACTGGCTGCCACCCATCACAACCCCAACTGGGGCCGGGGACAAACTGCAACCGAGGTACATGCCCTTAGCGGGAACCGAACCCCGGACTCTGGTCCACAGGCCGATGCTCTAACCACTGAGAAAACTGGCCAGAGCAAGAATAGCAATAGTCTTGATTCAAGTTAAATATATTTGGCCAGATGGAATGTGTCATCAGAGGACACCCAACATCTGCTTGCCCAGTCATTGGTGATGCTTAGACTGCCTGATTTTTCGGCCCTCCAGTGAGGCCACCAGCAATTAAAAAACTTGGGGCTACATTAACCCTTAAGTTTATTTTGATGAGATAACCCACAGTCTTGACCACCAACAACACTTCAGAATCTTCAACAACCCATCTACAAATTAACATTTTGGATTCCTTCTTTTTGAAAACAAACAGCCAGTAGTGAATTTTGATTAAAAATGGACCTTCAACTCACCAGCTTGTGTTTTTTCCTCCAGGCCAGTGATGGTCGCTGCCAACAGCGAGGGGACCCCGGTGCAGCCCAGTGTGAGGACCGCAGTGACAGGTTCAGTCTCTGAGGGACATTTCCCCAGGTTCTCCTCCCTTCCTCTCACAGCTGCTCTGTATCCTTGTGCTTCTTCTCTGAATCCTTCATGTCTCATTTCCCCCAGGGAGTCCTAAAGTGAACACAACATTCCCAGCATATACTCTGAAACTCAGACCCTTGACTGCCTTTCAAGCCTGAGGATCCTTGGAACTAGCGATTGTTAAATGGATTTGCACATTTGAATCAAGAAACTTAAATTCATAAGAAAATGTACCCGAGGACACATGAAAAGTTGGCTTTTAAGTGCTACCTTGAGTACTTCATCTTCAGCAATTATCATTCAGGAAATCAATCATGATACTATGATGCTGAGAAAAGTCATTCTAACTACCTTTCTAATAATACTCCATTTCATAAACTGCCTGAACCAGCAAAGAAAGTATCCCTAAAACCCAGAGGATCTGCAAGTCTGTATCCAACCCGCCTTACAAAGAAAAGAAATAACCTTTGGAGGTCAAATTGAGAAATGCAGTCAAATGTATTAAGTATATGTTCATTAACAGTACAAAACTGGGACTACAGAGGTGGGGGAAGTACTTTGGAGAGAGGAATTACTGGAGGTCGTTAATTTGCATGAAAACTGGTTTAAGTCCACTGAAGTCATTTTCCCCAAAGTAAAGCAGAGAAGATGAGAATACAAATCTCCAACAACTAAGGAAAGTTTGTGTTGTTCTCACCTAAAATAAGCCAACCCTGACCCCTTACAAAAGCAGATCTATGCCGTTGATTCACATAAACATATTTACACTAAAAGATCTTCCTCAGAAGAGGCAATAAATTCATTTTGTGAACTTATAGGGCAGATCAACAAGTAATATTACAGGAAGACAGATTTCATCTTAATGTCAGGAAAAATTATTATTATTGTGGCAAAATACAACATATAATATAAATTTATCACTGTAACTATTTTCAAGTGTACAGTTCTGGTATTAAGTACATTCACAGTGTTACACAACCATCACCACTTTCCATCTCCAAAACATTTTCATCACCCCAAACAGGATTTCATTCCTTCTTAAGGCTAAATAATACTTCATTGTATAGAGAGAGAGACAGAGATAAGATGATAGAGATAAGTACCACATTTTGCTTACCAGCTCATCCATAGATGGACATTCAGGCGCTCTCCACCTTTTGGCTCTTGTGAACAATGCTGCTATGAACGTGGGTGTGCAAATATCTGTCCGAGCCCCTGCTCTCAGTTATTTTGGGTATATATTCAGATGTGGAATTGCTGGATCAAACAGTAATTTTTATGTCTAAGTTTTTTAGAAATTGTCATACTGTTTTTCACAGCTACTGCACTATTTTACATTCCCACCAGCAATGCAGAAGGGTTCCTATTTCTGCACATCTTTGTCAACACCTGTTGTTTTCAGCTTTTTGATAATAGCCATCCTAATGGGTGTGAAGGAAGAATTTTTTTTCCTTTTTTTTTAATTTATTTTTTTATGAATTTAATTTTGTTACAGATGTGTCTCCTTTTTCCCCCCATGGATACCCTCCTCCCCATCCACCCCTACCCCATCCCCAGCTTTGTTGTCTATGTCCATTGGTTATGCATACATGCATATAAGTTCTGTGGTTTATCCCTTCTCCCCCACTTTCTGAGGATTGTCAGTCTGTACCCTGCTTCTATGACTCTGGGTCTACTTTGTTCATCAGTTTGTTTAGTTCATTATATTCCAGAAATATGTGAGATCTTGTGATATTTATCTTTCTTTGCTTGGCTTGTTTCGCTTAGGATAATACTTTCCAGGTCCCTCCATATCATCTCAAAGGATAATAGATCTTTCTTTCTTACAGCTGCATAGTACTCCATTGTGTATATGTACCACAGCTTTTTTATCCACTCATCTACTGATGGACACTTGGGCTGTTTCCAGATCTTAGCAATTGTAAATAGTGCTGCTATGAACATAGGGGTACATATATTCTTTCTGATTGGTGTTTCAGGCTTCTTAGGGCATATTTCTAGAAGTGGGATCACTGGGTCAAACGACAGTTTAATTTTTAACTTTTTAAAATTTTTTATTTATTTTTATTACAGATGTTTCTCCTTTTTTCCCCATTGATACCCTCCTCCCCATCCCCCCGACCCTGTCCCCAGCTTTGTTGTCCATGTCCATCAGTTACACGTACATGCATATAAGCTCTGTGGTTTATCTCCTCCATCCCCCCACCTCCTCTTCTGAGGGTTGTCAGTCTGTACCCTACTTGAAGGAAGAATTTTTAATCACTAGGTCTGCACTACAGTTGGACAAGCTGTCCCAGGGGACAGGGCTGATGGATGCACTCTACCAAAGACTAGATAAACTGACATGTCCCCTGGTGCAAGCTGTGCAAGGTCCAAGTATGTCTGACCACAGGGTGAATAGAGGCTGAAATCCAGCTCACAGTTCACATTCCAAGGTGCAAATGCAGGTGTAGAGCTGCCTCTTCTGGGAGGAAGCAATAACTTTTTCTTCCCTAAAACTATTGTCAACTGACCTGGCCATGTCTCCAAGGGGCACTGTTTTCTTTTTTAATGCAAATTAAGGCACTTATAAAAGCTACTGGTTATCCTGGCTGGTTGACTCTTCATCCTGGGGTTGCTGTAGATAGAACAGATTAATAATACCTAGTCCAATTGGACTAGATAATTACGAAGTCCCCTGCTCAATGGTGGTACTCTGTGGATCTCTGTGACGGTTTTACACAATGCCCCCCAAAGTCTTTGACACCATGCATTGACCACGGAATCTACATCTGGGACCTGTGACTGTTTGATGACAGAAATCTGCCGAAGTGACACCGTACCAGTTTCCAGGCCCAGACCTTAAGAAACTGGCAGCTCCCACTTCCTGTCTCCTGGAACACTCCTTCTTGGAACCTAGCCACCATGCTATGAGGAAGCCTACACCACTTTGTAGAGAGACACACATGGTGAGAAACCAACGCCCAGCACCAAGTAAGCGAACAGTCTTGAAGTGGAGCCTCCAGCCCGGGCAAAGTGAACTGTCCCAGCCAAGGCCCACCCAAATCGCAGACTGATGCGCGAAGTACATGAGCCTAGTTGTTTTAGGCTGATTTTCTTTAGCTGCAGTAAATCCCAGAACAGTCTGTAACATAACGTGACCAGTTCCCCAGATGCACAGTTCTACAGTAGGCCTCACACCAGCGGGAACTGAAGAACTCCGAGGCAGGCCTTCTCTAAGGAGCCCTCGATTTTTCTCCCGTGTCCCAGGCAATGGCCTTTGTCTCTCCTCTCTCCCACTCCCCAGTTTAGGATAGTCACTATCAAATAAAGATGCTGAGGTTCACCTTCGGCAGCACCTGCACCCTCATTGGATTTCTGAAGGAATCATAGGTGTCCCTGAGCCACACACTGGGCCCCTCCATAGTGTCTAGGGCTCCTGCTTTGTCCTGGGCCAGTAGCCTTGAGGTGCTGGCTTCAAAGGACAAGAGAGAAGTAAGATATACTTGACCCAATAAACTGCTCTCCACGCTGGTTCTTTAACTTGCTCTGAGTTTAAGAGGGCGCGCACAGGCGAGCAAAGGGGTAGGGAACGCAGAGGGCAAACTGCTTGGACCCTGGCTGCCTCCGTCTGCAGTGGCCCCATCACAGATCAAATCTGCCTGCATTTCCTAGGAAGAGAGCGAGTTTCTCCGCATGGCCTTCCTCGGTTCTCAGGTTTATCTGTGGAACTACCCTCCTTCCTGGATTACGCCCCCACCCCACCCCCACCCCACCCCCACCCCGCCCTCTTCATTTCAGGAAGGAAATAGTTAAAACAAGACTCCTGCCCTTCGGGGCCTGGGAGGGGGCGGCTCTGTGCTTTATAGTGGCTGCCTCAAAGGAGGGCTGGGAGCTTGAGACATTCTGGCCGTCCCAGAGTGGAGCAGACGGTCTGGGAGGTTCGGGGGAGAAGGGGAGGACAGACAGACGGGGGAGTGTGTTGCTCTGGAGTTTCTTTCCCTTGCTGGCCCCTGCGCGCGCTCCCGATCATCCCTGTGGTCTGGCGACTGCGGACCGGAGGTGGAGAGGCTCCAGCCCAGCCGGTGGCCGGAGGCTGGGGGCAGGGGGACCTCCCCACAGAAGCGGCCGCCGGGGAAGTTTTCCGAAGCAGAGGCAGCAGCGCGGCCCGGACCGCCGCCGCGCGGCCACGCCACCCAGTCTCTGCGGTCCGCGTCCTCGCCCGGGCGCCGTGCGGGACCTGGCAGCGATCTGCGCCCCCAGCTCCACGGTCGGTGCACCCCTTTCCTCTCGGGGGCCGGGCGGGGACGGGGCAGACGGAGGGGGAGCGGGCGTCGTTGTCGCCCGGCACACTGCACCTCGGGCGACCCTCCGCACACGTGCTGGCACCCACCTGCCCAGGGGCGCGTGGCGGCGCGGGCGCCTGGGGTCTGGAGAGCTGAATGAAAGCCCCGCAGCCTCCCCAGGCGGGATTCGGCTTTGTAGTTCAAGGAAAATGCACAGTTCTCCCTGGGTCTCCCTTTTCCCAGGCACGCAAGAACTTTGTGGAACATCGCGCCCTTGTCGCATGCCCCAAAGCCTACTTGTTAAGTGTGTCCCGCAGCCTTTTCTTGCTGGCCTGCTTCTCCTCCTGCACACCCTGCCTGGCCAAGGGTAGTCAAGGGCACACGGTGTGAGGGACCGATGTTGGAAAACCCCCAGCGCAGCTGGTTTGGAAACCGACCTGTGGCTGTCTGGGCGTTTGGTTGTATGCTGTCCTCGTGCGGAAAACGAGGGCTGTTTCTAGATAATCAGCCTCGGTTTACACCATCCTAATAGCGTTCAGGATAGAGTTGGCAGCAGAGGGGGTTGGGTGGGAGGCAAATAAAAGTCAGACGTTGTCAGTAAGGACAGTTGCTAATTTCTTACTCAGTGAGCAAAACCAACAGAAAACTTGTAAAAAGTACCTAGTTTTTTTGTTGTTGTTGTAGTTGTTTCTCCTCTTGTAGATGTTCATGGCTTCCTCCACTCCACCCCCCTACCTCAGCCCTTCTCTTTTAAGTGTTAACTAATTGAGAAACATCTTGACAATCATTTCATGTAAACTACCTGCTCTAAACTCAGGCCATATGGGTAAGGGTGGAATTTCCAAATTACTAATTACAGGTGAATTTTGATCTTGAGATTCGGAGATGTTAAATGGTTAAAGTGTAAGCAGAAGGATTCAGTCTTCTTCCTTAACAATAGCTTTGAACTTCAGCAAGTTTTTGGACATGGGACAGGAGACCGCTGAAGCTGTAAACCATGTCCTTGAGCTCTGAACCTGAGATACTTCACTGGAACGATGACTGATTATGACTGATTATTCCAAGCACAGCATACTTAGATCCATGGAAATGAGCTACAAACCCATCCTTGAAGGAAGATGTATTTGAAGGGACTTCTCTCGGGTGGTTTTGTGTTTTTCACCCAATATTTGGTATTCATGTGCCTCTGTCAAGTACCCTTAGCTCTGCAGCTTTAGATGTGTGGAGAACTGACAGAGATGTCATCAGAAATTATCTCTGTGGTGGTGTCCTGGTTGGAGGGGGGAGAAAAATGATTTTAATAGTAGCTAGCTCACACTTTGATAAGAACCCCCAGCCTTGGCCTCCTTAGCTCCTGCCTTAATCAGCTGATCAAGCAAACCAGCAAGCTAGTGTTCAAACACTAGTAGTACCTTTCGTGGGTGCTAGGGTATCCCCGATAGCCAGGTCAGTTCACTCAATATCTTCCTAGCAGACTCTGGTGGGCAAAGAGACATTCCATTTCTGGAAAAGACCTTCTCTCGCTCAGTTTTAATAAAACTATTACTGAAGGCTCCATTCCAGTTGGGAAACTGGGAGGCTTTTGTCATTGAACAGCACAAGATATTGGGGGATGTTTTCTCCCATCTCTAATCTGGAGAGGAGAATGACGGTATGCTTTGTTCTCAGAGTCCTGGTCTCCACTGCAGAGTGGAAATAGTGTCTATCAATATTCAGTCAGATACTCACTCCAAACTGAAAGAAGCAAGAAAAAACTGCACACTACTTATAAATCCAGGCAGATCTGACATGTGCATAGTATGCCCCTAGCTTAGAAAATTTGATGTTTTTATCATTTATTTTTATAATATCAGACTGAGTTGAGTCCTAGATGCCAAGTAAGGCACTGTAGCTGTCATGCTGCTTCTTGGCCATGACAACTTGATTAATTTCTTCAAGACTCAGTTTCCTTATGAGTAAAATGGGGATGTTGGTTCTGCCTACTTAGAGTTAGAAAGTTCAAGTCAGATAACAGATACGTGTATAATAGATTACTACTACTCATAAAATGTTTTTATTTCGGGTCCCTGGGGGAAATCTAGGAGAAGGCTAAAGTATGCAGTATTTGCACTTTATATTTACTTTAGATCTTCATGCAACTTGAATAAATCTTATTTCATCCACATATCGACTAAACCTAATCTTGATAACTGTCAAAGGTGACTGTCAAAATCCCTAAAAGTGGTTAATACCAACCACAAATAGACTCAGAAGAAGGACACAATTTTTTAAAAATCAATTATACATCATAGACACACACATACCACTGCACACATGAACTTATGGTCTTCACTTAAAGATTCATAAAAACTCACAAAAAAAGAACATATAAAACTGTTCAAATGTGAGAAACCATTTTTATTTACCTTAGATTATTGCGTTACCACCAATGCCCCTCATTTTCCCAACACCTTTTCTTTAAGGATTAAAGTAGAAACACTTAGACTTCCTGGACAAGAAAGACCACTCGTTCTCAAGCAAACAAACAAATGGCCTTTTGAAAACGTCTAACCACCTTCCTGAGTCTGCTGCTTCACGGAAACTCTGGGAACATCATTCAAACATTCCAGGTGCTAAGCAGGCATGAGAATGAGAGACCATGTAGGCTAGTGGTTAAGAGCTCAGGCTCCAAGCTGGATGAACTTGCCTTAGACTCTCAGCATTGCCACTCACCACCTGTGCCTTTGACAAGCATCTTGACGTTGCTGGGCCTCTGTCCCCCTGTCTTTGTAATGGAACGTGTATCTGCCTCAAAGGGTCGTGGTATAGACTAGATGGCATCACACACGTGGAGTACTCAGCACCATGACTAGGCATGAGACATACCCCTCGGAAAACCAAGTGGTGTGCCTGGCGTGGGGAAGTCCATGCCTCCCAGCTTCACTCATTAACAACTATCGTGACAGTGATTTCTGAGGAATGGAAAAGCCAAAAACTCCCATCAGAAGATGTAGGTTGTACATATTAATCATCAAGGTTTTCAATCAAAATATTTTGTCTTTATCAGTTATATCATGTTTATTTAAAACTAAAATTGTTATATGTATTGACGGTGTTAACCAGAGTTCTGATTTTAAATGATCATTTTGTAACACTTTAAATGGCTACCTGTGCTACATTTTATTCCCATGTGAATTACTGACCACATGCAAAACAGCACACAGTTTGGAATATTGGGTTTTAAGTACAGAATTGGTCATTTTATGCCTTAACAGTAGGTAACTTTTCTTCAGCATATAGTGCCTTTTCTTTTCCACTAATAAAATTTATCTCAACTCTCAAAGATTTTTGTAACTCAGATTCTTATCAGCCTAGGTGTAGTGAATAGAAAAGAGTAACTTTTAATCTACTTCTTAAAGGAAAAACTGACATTCTCATGCATATTATAATCTAGATATAAGTATAGCTGTGGACAGAGAGACAGAGAGACAGACAGACAGACATACCTTGCCCTAATACAGCCCTGTTCTTTTCTGGTTTCGTTCTGCTTTGAGGTAAGCTGACATGGGTATATCTTATCTAATTACCAAATATATCCTGCTTTTTAACTGAAGCAGTAAATAATCATTGACTGCAGTCTTACTGGAAGCAGGATTTTGTAACCAAAATGATTTTTTCTCCTTTCTTTTTCTAGGTGAACAAACAAGTGAGGGTGGAAAAGCGACCGAATAAGAGACATTGCCTCAATCTGCATCGAGATGGAAACCTTTTGCTTCAGGGTGTCCTTCTGGGTGGCGCTGGTTGGATGTGTAACAAGTGATAATCCTGAGAGCTACAGCGCCAATCTGAGCACTCGTGTGGATGATTTTACCACTTTCCATGGGACGGAGCTCAGCCTCCTGGTTACCACTCATCGACCCACTAATTTGGCCCTACCCAGCAATGGCTCCGTGCCCAACTATTGCCCACAGCAGACTAAGATTACTTCAACTTTCAAATACATTAACACTGTGATATCTTGTACTATTTTCATCGTGGGAATGGTGGGGAATGCAACTCTGCTCAGGATCATTTACCAGAACAAGTGTATGAGGAATGGCCCCAACGCGCTGATAGCCAGCCTTGCCCTTGGAGACCTTATCTATGTGGTCATTGATCTCCCTATCAATGTATTTAAGGTAGGAAATAACCACAAACGTATTTGCAAGTTTGAACATATGCTCTGCTTCCACAGTCAGTAAGAGTGGCTGCAAACTTTTCTGACCATCTGGATTTTAGTCTGTGTCTTTACCGAGAGCAGTTTCTGCTGTCTTACAACTAGCGGTGTTTTAAATTTTGGTTCTTTGTTAAGTGTTACACTTCTTTTCTAACTTAATGCTTAACCAAATAGCACTTCTGGAATGACTCCTCAAGGTCACGGTCTTTCAGGCATCGGACTCTCGTGCCAGCCCTGAGCTTGCCGAGTGGATGGGCAATCTTGGGGACATCACTTGATTTTTCTGAGATTCAATTTTCAGGGTAAGACCTACTAAGCCCCAAAAGTACTCTAAATAAGTATATTCAGTTGCAGTTACCTTTTTAATGTGATACTGTTCAGAAGCCCGATATCCACAGAATGGCTTGAAAGGAAGAGCACCTATTTTATTTTGAGTGTCCGGGTTGATGTTTGGAGCCAGAGCACAAGCTGGCTTTCCTCGGGTACCTGGGTGACTTCGGAGATAACGGGATCCACACGATAGCAGGCCAGCGTTGACCTCAGTGAGCCGTGTTACGAAAGCCATTTAAAAGAGGCGTCCGTTCACTGTGTTCCCCTTCATTTCTTCAGTTTAGATTTAGGCAGTGCCCGCTGTGTCCGCCCCTGAGCTGGGCCACATGCTCCAAACACAAATCAGACAAAGTTAGTGCCTGAGTGGGAGAGGAAGGGAACTAACCCGCTGTTCCTGTGGTCACCTTGCATTCAGAGCGATACCAAAACAAAGTAAAGCCAAAAGAATTAGATAGTCTGTATTTGGTCTGTGGTTCTGAGAGAGCAATTGCTGCAAAAATTCAAATAAACTAAAATTCAAATGAAATCAAGATCTATGCCAGATATTAAGAAATGTCTTTATTCTACGCCCATGAAAAGCACTTTCCTCGGCATTTATATTTTTCTTCTATGCACTAGCCATAGACATGAAATTATTCTAAACAAGCATATTTGGAAATAGGATTGTAAATGGCAAGTTTTGTCCATTGAAGACATAGCTCTTAAGGAGAATAGCAGCCTTTGGGTTTCCAATAGATCCACTTAAACTGTGGCAAACTTATACAAGCATACCAGAAAAATCAGTGGTCTAACAATAATGATGAAAGCAATGTCTCAACACTATGAATAAAAATATTACTCCAACATACTGCAAAACTGGGGAAATTAGACAACAAATAATTTTTTTTTTAAATCATGTATCAACTCTTTCCACAGAGTAGCATGAGTACACACGTGTTTTCTATTTGAAATTAAAATGGGATTTTAGAACCGAACAATGATGCAAAATGAAAATGTGTAATTAATTTAAAACGTTTAACATATGCTACAGAACTTTAATTTTTTTTCTTTAAAAAATTATTTTCTTCTTATGAATTATTATGTGCTCTCAACACCCGACTTTCTCATGACATACTTCTCTAATCATAGATTTGAAAATGTTGATATGACTCATTCAAAATTGGACTCTTCAGTCATGATGTAGAGTATTAAACACGGATTATTCATGCTTATATACCAGTTAACCAACCCATGGCTCAGGAGAATAATTAGCCATCTCTGAATTAATATTTCCCATTTGACCATGTGCAAAACAGATTCTTGGCAAATCAATATCTGCAATTGCTGGGAAGGAGACTTGCCTGTCGCTTTAAGAGGCTACCTGCCAATCAACAGACCAAACTTCATTTCTCTTCCATAGCAACATTCTAAGTTAGATCATCTGGGCTATTTCCAAATTTGTTGGGAAAATAAAAACAAAAACACCCTTTGTTTTACATTCATATAGTAATGCATAAAAATTAACACATTCTTATTTGACTGTATGGTTCTTACCTTTTGGGACTCCAATACAGGTGACCCTCTGTATCCACAGGTTCTGCTTAGGCAAATTCATCTGACTACAAGTTGAAACTATTCAGAAAAAAAAAAGTTATGCCATTGCTGACAATACTATATAGTTAGGTACATGATGGTTATGTCTATAGTGAACATATACAGACTTTATTCTTGTCGTTATTCCCTACACAATACAGTATAAGAGCTATTTACATAGCATTTACATTGTATTAGGTATCGTAAGTAACCTAGATTTGGTTTAAAGCACACAGGATGATGTGCATAAGTTATATGCAAATACTATGACATTTTAAAAAAGGGACTTGAGCATACAAAGATTTTGGTTCTTGGTGGGGGTGCTAGAACCAAATTCTACAGATACTGAGTGATGACTGTAGTGTAATACCTACTGCAGTTTTTTTTTTAAGATTTTTTATTGATATTTAGAGAAAAAGGAAGAGAGAGAGAGAGAAACATTGACATGAGAGCGAGATGTCACTCAGCCGCCTTCGGCATGCCCCATCATGGATTGAGCCTGCAACCCAGGCATGTGCCCTGACAAGGAATCAAACCACCAACCTTGCACAGGACGACACCCAACCCACTGAACCACACCAATCAAGACCCTACTATAATTTCAAATAGTGTTCACAGTATGACTGTGGTGTTTTTACATCACAGGAGTACATTTGTGTAATTCCTGTTTTTATAAAACTCATGTAATAAGTCATTTAACCAATCTTACTTTGAGAAGGTAAACCTTTTGGTTTCAACAAAAAATACCCTTTGCCATTTCAATCTTTTTCCAGAGGAAGGAGAAAGCATTGGCGTGAGCTAAGAAGCCTTACACTATTTGGAGGCTATATATACGTCCTTCTCCCAGGCTTCTTCTCTAGGTTAGGAGACCATGAAATGCTGCTGCTTCTCTGACTCCTGTCCCCAGTGGTCAAGAGAAATCCTTTCGGGCAATGTGAGTGCCAGGCTCACAGCTGCCTCCTGCTATGAGATTCTGATGCTTTGGGGTCTCGCATATCAGACCTGTGACCCCTCTCCAACCATGTCACACTACTTCTTTACTGCAGGGCAAAGTAGCAGCTGATCGTCTCACTTTCCTATTATGTTTAGGCATCTGTGCAATGAAAATCATGTGGAGGCTTGGAGAACATGCTATCAGTAGGATGTACGAAGCTTCCCCCTCCCCCATTAGAAGAATTAGGTTGAAAGAAGGTGAAAGTATCTGCTGTGCTCTTTAAAGAATGATGAGTTTTTCCAATCACACAGGTCTTTGTGTTTAACAATTCTAGCAATTGCTTTTATATTCAGTTCTAAGGTGTCCCCAGGCAGAGAACGTTCCATTGAGTCATATCAGAGTCAGCCTAGGTAGAAGCAGACGGTGTGAAGATTGTGTCTTTAGGCAAGGTGGACTTGCTGATCAGTCTGCAGCAATGTTACAGGAGATAAAGTGTTCCTCCCAGTCAGGTTTTATTCCCTTTCTCGCACTCTGAAAGAGATTGTACTGGGAGTGGTCCATGTATGAATGTGATGTAAGACACAACCGAAAATCAAAGCACTGTTTCTGATTGTCATTATTCCGCTTGGTAGTGCAGAGTAGCTCTGGATGGTCTGTGGGCATAGGAGAGTAGGTAATTTATGCAATTTCCAAACGTTTCCAAAAGATCTGTCTCTTCAGGATTTCTTTCCTCCAGCCTGTACTGGACTTGGCTTCTATTTACTGAGTATCACTCTGCCCCCAAACATCCAGGAGTTCTCATGTTTAGTAGTCAAGGCCCTTCCTACTCTGGAATACTTTCTTAACCACTTCCTAACATGTATGCTCAGCTCTTGTCAGAATGCCATCAGCGCCCCTAAATAACATGCTGTGCCTTGAGTGACATTCGCAGAGGGGCTGGATATTGTCACTGAATTCCTGCTACTGAGACATTTACAGATCCTAAATTGAAAAATGAGTAGGTCTGGAGTTGCATATGTTGCATTGAGAAAAAAATAAACAGCCCGGCTGGTGTGGCTCAGTGGATTGATCATTGTCCCATGGATTGAGAGGTCCTGGTTCAATTCCTGGTCAGGGCACATGCCCAGGTTGCGGGCTCAATGCCCAATGGGGGGTATGCAGGAGGCCGCCAATCGATATTTCTCTAACATATCAATGTTTCTGTATCTCTCTCCCTTCCTTTCTCTCTAACAAATCAATAAAAACATCAAAAAAATTAAAAATAAACAAAAAAATGTTAAGAAACTTATCTGACCCTTGCTTATACTCACACATACACAGACACATTACATTAACTGGTGACAAAATCTGACATTCTGAGATAATAAAATGTAAAGCAGAAGAAACCCAAGAAAGCAAATAAGTGCCAGTTACCTACTTGGTTTTCAAGCATAAGAGAGCCTTGCAAATGGCAATATTGAAGAAAACCTGTTACTAAGTTTATCAAAGAATCACTCTATCCAGTCATTAATTGTTCAAAAACAAGTATCAGTACTTCCAAGAGAAGACTGAAAAGAACAGGAGGGAGGAAAGGAAGTAAGGTAGCAGATCCTTTCAAATACCCACACTTATAATCTAAACTGATGATGGATTCAATTTATCGAGAAATTACAATGTTTCATATTCTGAATTTTCAAGAAGTGTAAAAACTTAGCCATGTAAATGAATCTATCTGTAAAATATACTCATTCAAGCCCTGGCCAGTTTGGCTCAGCAGTTAGAGTGTCAGTCAGCTGACTGAATGGTCATGGGTACAATTCCTGGTCATGGGCACATACTTGGGTTGCAAGTTCAATCCCTGGCCCTGTATGGAGTTGTGCCGGAGGCAACCAATCAATGTGTCTCTCTCACATCAATGTTTCTCTCTCTCTCTCTCTCTCCCTCCCTTCCTTCCACTCTATCTAAAAATCAATGGAAAAATATCCTCGGGAGGATTTATATTTATATATATATATATATATATATATATATATATATACACATATATATACACACACACACACACACACACACACACATATACATATGTGTGTGTGTGTGTATGCATTAATTACAAAACAAAGTATCTATTTTATTTCTAGGGGCCC